TCAAGAATGGCAAGTGGGTAGTGACAATGAGAAGGTTAAGTTTATGTTAAAAGGATCTACCCAACTGAGTTATAAAGAAAATTGTGTACTATTTAGTATTGTACAACGTTATATTTTGGATACTTGTCGATTCTCCTAGTCTCTTTTCATGCCATTGTCTTTGTGACTATACGTTCTTTTTGTTATTGGTTGTTTTTTGTCTTGTCTTTTGTGTTTATATACTTGTAAATATTTCTTTTCTATTTTAAAAAAAATTAATGTAAGTTCGTGTGAGCCTCCTTGATAAGCCTATGGCTTTTGAGGCAAACATTTTAATAAAGTTTATATAAAAAAAAAAAAACATACTTTTTAAGTTTGTTTGCCGATTGAGAAACGTATCGAAAAATAAAAATTTTGAATTTAGTCATAAACTCAAGCGATATATTATACGCATTAGTTTTGAGCGCGTGCTACGTAACATACAAAAAATCTCCTCTTAATAGTAGTTAGTTTTTAAATTAATAGTTCTTAGATTGAAATAGGAGTATGCTTGTAAATAGAGTAGTGTATAGGATATATATTCTTCATTTTCAACTGTAATTCGCATTATAATTTAGTGATTAATTACTTAATGTGAAATTTTAGAAAATAATAATAATCTTACAATTAGCCCCAAATTTGTTGTGACCACGAAAATATAAAATTCCGGTTGCGCCAAGCATAAGAACTTACATTAACTAAATCACATATATTTCGACTGCTAGGACAATAAAAAGCTATGAAAACTTTATAACATTGGCGACATTATATCACCAGTGTCCTAGTGATACGTGATGTGACTTATATCGTCAGCATATCGTTCAAATCGTTCAAGGTCATATCGATCTAATTAGAGGGTTAGCTTAATTCGGTCCCAGTTTTCTATGAGACCGTTTCAGAAGTCGGTCCAAATTGCTATTTAATCCACACGCCACAAGTGTCTTGTGTAAAGAACGAGCCAAAGTCGGGCCCAGATCGCACCCCCCCCCCCCCAACACACACACCCATCCCTCAGAATTTGTCGAATGTGCGCTCCTGGGTCACAGAGTAAGTACATACAGAGGTTTCACTTCAGGTTAGAACAGAAATGTTGTTCTCTTTTCAGTCAGTGCTCCAAAAGCTAGTTGTTATTGGCATTGCTATTGTACACCTATCACCTATCACTGTCACCTGCAATTTAGGTATAGGGCCTACTTAGGTTTCACATCTCTGCCGGTTCATAGCTTGTTTTTTTGTTATGTATTAAAGACACCTTGATCATATTTTTTGATTGTATAGTTGTTCAGAATCGAAATGAAATAACAGATATGTTATGTTTTGAGTCCTGGTGTGTTGTTACATTACAGCTTGTCATTGTTGTTCCTTGTCAACTACTTAATTTGTTCTCTCCGTTGACCGGGAGTACGCACTAGTGCGCTGATCAAAGACGCGTAAAAGAGGGAAATTCTACAGTTTGACATTGACTTCGATTGCTTAAAGCCGTTTGAGGTCCACAAATCATGCGTGCGTTATTATAAGCTATCAGTCAATACCTATATATATATATATATATATATATATATATATATATATATATATATATATATATATATATATATATATATATATATATATATATATATATATATATATATATATATATATATATACACCCAACTGTTCACACAACACTGAAAACGCTTTCTTTGTTTTGGTGATGAAGAAATGATTGATCATCTAGAGTACTTCAACTGAATATTTATAGATTAGGCGTAAAAGAAGGGAAAATTTTTACCGAGGCTTTGCTGTTTGACATTGACTCATGTTTAAGTTTGACGTCCAGAAATCATGTCTGCGTGAACTAATATTGAACAGTCAAAACCTAGTCAACTATTTACTCCCAGAGGCCCAGAGCCATGGCAAATGTAGCTTGTGTCACAGATCTTAGTTACAATTAGCCCCAAATTTGTTGTGACCACGAAAATATAAAATTCCGGTTGCGCCACGCATAAGAACTTACATTAACTAAAACAAATCATGCAAAATCACATATATTTCGACTGCTAGGACAATAAAAAGCTATGAAAACTAGAACAATGTATAAATGATACAATATATTAGTTATAGAATGAGTAAAATGTTCAAAATCGCCTCAAATTTCGTTAGTGCGAATGAATTTTGTATGCCAAGTTTGAATAAATTGAATTCCCAAAAGTGAGGATTTAATTTACAAGCAATCGTACCAATGTTCCCAGAAATTCTAAGAAATAACCAATTAACATTTACCCACAATTAATACTATTAACAATTATAGATTTTTAGACCTTTTAACGTCGGCCATGACACAGACTATAGCAAACGGGCTGCAGATTATCTGAAACCTGGCGGCATGTTTTTGAAATGGACAAAAAATTGAATACAGTTGATTTACGTACCCTATTGAACGCGAACAATAGCAGGGGGCAACACCCAATTAATCATGGAACAGCACTAGCGATCCAAGATAAACGTGACAAATTTCGAGGAGAGTTTCCAGCTATGGACTAAATTTTGATCTAGGCAAGAAGAACAGAATCCATCACTACAGCTAGAAAGAGCATGTTAAAATTAGTACAATGGCAAAGTTTGGTTGCGACATGTTGTAAAATGAGGAAAATATGGCCCTGCGAAATGTGGACCCAAATGTGGCGCATTTTCCCGCGCGTAATACAATATAATTTTCAATGGTTCGAGTTGTGGTTCTGATTTCAAGAACGAAACACTGAATCATTAGTTTTCTTCACGTTAATGCGCATGCAAATTTTCATATTAATACCAGGGGTATTTTTCGAATTATCTTGCTGACAAACAGACACAGAAACACAAACGCCTGCTTGACGCACGCATAATTTATGAGCGTCAATCTTTAATCAATCAGAGTCGCTATAGGAATTCCCCTTTTTTTTGCGCCATGGGACAGAACTGTCAAATAATGACAGGCGAGGTCAATGTGAAATAATAATGGAGACAAACAGTAGTTGTAAAGCTTTTCAAATGCAAACTAACACCGCGGAAAAACGTCTGCGCATGCGTCACTCTTACCTGTAATAGTATTGCGAACTTGATGAGAAGCTGTTCCAAACGTTTCCGAAGGCTCAAAATGGCGGTAAAAAGGAGTGACTTCATTGTGCGTCTTTATAGCCAGATTTCAAGCGCAAAAATAAACATGTCATTCTAAAAACTAGAAATAAATACAGCCAGAAGGTTCAAGAAATTGTATTGTACAAGAACATGGACTAAAGGTGATTGTTGACAAATTTATCGTCTGAAACATTTTGTTTATCAACTAAGCAATGACAATTTCCGAATTTTCGTTTGAGATATATTTCTTTAAAAAAAACTGTGTCGCCAAATATAAAAAATTTGCGTGTTCACAATTATTAAACTTTAGGATTTATTCTACAATTTGAGTGGGTTAATGCAAAAATTTTCGAAGTCGTGTCCGTTAAAATCAACAATTTTTTACATGAATTATATTTCATTCCATACTTTAAATGCAGGACGCTTTCAATTAATGTCTAGTCTACCCATTTGCTATATTTTCTCGTTTGTTTTACTAATTTTTGACCAATTAATAAGCTTGTTTTTGTTTTAGAAATTGATATTCAAATTCCCCGCCATATTTTCATAATTTGGTGCATGCGCAGACGTTTTTCCGCGGTGTTGTCGACTGCATATATTAGCTAGAATTTGTCATTCGATATGCGCATTAAAAGTGCGCAATGCAAAACTGATGAATCAACTTAAGTCAGCCTGTCATTCGGTCGGTCAGTGAGCTAATCGATCGGTCGTTTAGTAGGTCGGTTAGTCATTAGTCTCTCAATCTGTCTGTCAGTCTGATTACTACTTTTTCTTGTAGATTGTCTGTACTTAAACGGCAGCAGTTACCGTGGCAACATTTCAGTGACAGCCTCAGGTATTCCGTGTCAATCATGGACAGAACAATGTCCACATCGTCACACCATGAACAATACATATCCAGAACTGAATAACGCTAAGAATTATTGTCGAAATCCTCAGAACTCAGGACAACAACCTTGGTGTTTTACTACAGATAGGAACGAAAGATGGGAGTACTGTGATATTCCTAAATGTATACCAGGTATAGAGTATTATTGTACTGTGATATCCCTAAATGTACACCTCGTACAAGGAATGTTGCCAGGGTGGGTTGGGATAACCCAAAACAGATTCTTCCACCGCAGTTGTGCTGCGTGGTCAAGGTGCTGCTAGAGGCGCCACGCCGTTAGAAAGCTTTTGATTCGATCAGGTTGATCTGAGTCCTTCGTAATTCTGTTTGGCTCTGGCGTGCAAGTAAGGATGACTTATTTTACAAATAAAATATAAAAGCAAACTGCAGGTCAGGCGTTTTTATTTGTTCAAACAACTTTTTCGCACAGTCCATTCATTTTACAACCTACAATCAATCTGGCAACTTTATTTTAAGGTATTTGTAAAACGTGATCAGAGAATTCTGAGTCAATGCTGATCCCCATACAGTGCAACAAAAGTTTAGATTTGACAATATTAGCGCTTCAGTAACTGACTTTAAAACATTCTTTGGAATATATTTACTAAATCTGTACAATAGTCCTAGAACTTTAGAACAGTCTTTTAGAGCGGTGTTTTAGGTTATCAAAATTTAGCTCCCGCCCGACTTGGGAAAATCAACTACCTGGGTGGGACGATAAAAACGGGCGTGTATGACCCCAACATATCTTTTTCTTTGCTACAGTAGATGGTAGTTATGGTAACTGGTCATTAAACAGTTCATGTTCGGTAACTTGTGGTGAAGGTTTTGAAACATGGTCACGAGAATGTAACAATCCTGAGCAAAAGTATGGTGGAAGAAACTGCAGTCATCTAGGAGAACCTGTTGAGTACAGACCATGTACGAAGAATCCTTGCATTGGTAAACATACTATTTCTTTACCGTTAACCTTCGAATAAAGACCAGAAAATATAACTCTGAAACTTTATGTTAACAACTTGACTAAAGATGGTGGATAACTCTAACGGTTTTAAATTAAGCTGTTCTATGTAAAGGTCTAGAAAAGGCCGTTACTAACTTGATCGTTTAGTCTGATTGCAAACACTCTTCACACACATAACCGAGACGAAAAAAATATTAGCAGAAACCTACGTATTACTAGCCTGCATGGCAGGCGATCTAAAATACCGCCTGCTGGTTTTGGCAGTGTAATTTGATAACCGCCCACTTTTTTGTCTGGGTCCAATTAGCCAATCAGCAAACACTAAATATATTAATAATCAAACTGTCAAACACTCAAACTATGTTATTGTTGGTCGCAAAATTGCAAAAATATGTCAAAAGAAACGCCATTGAAAGTTTCAATCAAGACCTCTGAATAATGACAATTAAGAGTTAGAAAAGCAAGCGCGGAAAATGTGAATGATCACTGTTGTTTGCGTATTAAGTGTGCTTTGAAACTAAAACAAGGGGCAATAGAGAAAATATCTTATATATCGTCGGAGAATTTTTTATTTAAGGCACGCAAAAGAAACGATTACGACAGTGGCAAAACCTTGGCCGATCAATAAGCCGATCACGAATTGTGTTCAGTTCATTTAGGAATCGAAGTTAGTCCTACCTCGGAACTATCCGACCGAGTTTGTAACCGTGTGGGCGAAAGATCCGAAACGCAAGCGAACTGATTGCCATAATTGGTAAATCAAACGAGACGTAAACGCGTTGCCTGTGTACGTATCGAACAAATAGACTGTTGTATAAAAACGTCGGTTGCCAATATAAACTGTCTCGTTTCCCTATAAACGAAGCCGTGTGTTCAAGAAAGCCTTAAAAAGTTCAGAACGTGAAGCGGCTAACAGGCCTAGACGTGGTAGTCCTGTTAAACCCGTTGCAATAAAGACTCTACGGCGGTCTGTATTTATTCTCGTTATATTTTCTCGCGCCAACAAGAAAAATGTAAAAATTAAGCTTTTCGCATAACCTGTAGGTAGAACGCCTAAAAAATTCTTGTCAAATCTCAAACGCGAGCAAGAGATAGCAGTCAAAGATTTACTCCTTAGTAAAACCTTTAACTGCTCTCTCTCTTGCTCGGGTTTGAGAGTTGACAATCAATTCGCGTTTCGACTTTCGAGAAGCGTTCATACGTGACATATGACTAAAAGCGTATTCACTTTTGAGTGACAGCGGCTCAGACTCGCAGCCAATCATCAATTCCTGTCCACTGGACGTGGACGGGGAATTCGATTACACTGCCAAACCCAGCAGGCGGTCTTTCCCAGGCTTGCCCGATTTTAGGGACCGCCTGCCATGCAGGCTAACGTATTACAGGAATCGAAGCCCATTCACAGAGACGTACTCCTGTTAATTCATGAATTGGCACAGTGATTAATTAGTGCGTTAAATTGTTGTTCTTATGGTTTGTAAGTAGTGGAGAAAATTGAATCTGCTATCATATAATTCTTTTTAATTCGTTTAATTTCACAGTTAAAGGTGGCTACAGTAGCTGGAATTTAAGCAGTCAATGTAACGTTACATGTGGACAAGGTGAAGAAATATGGCGACGTTCATGTAACAATCCTACTCCGAAGAATGGAGGTCGAAATTGCACTGTGTTGGGAAAGGATGTTGAATATAGAATTTGTAGAAGACAACCTTGTCCAGGTATGTTTCTTTATATCTTCTTTTTTTTGGCCTTGATCTCGTTTGGGGTCGGCCGCTTTGGTCTGTTGACAAAACGAATAATTCTATCCTTGGGTTTAGTGCCCTCATATAGTTTTAAACACTATCCCTTCATCTCATCCTTTTCATCCCTTCTGTTTGTCGTCTTACTATTAGATGTCTCCACGCCACCTTCATTGAATCTTTCTCAGCACTTTGTCGTCCTGCTATTGAATGTCTTCATGCTACCTTGACCAGGCCATTCTCTGTATTCTATCCTGGTAACCTATGCTCTTTAGTAGTATCTTCAGAACATTTTCGACAATATGTCTTTGTCTCTTACTTTGTCTTCCTACTGTTTGCCGCCCTACTATTGAATATCTCCGTGCAATCTTGACTGGATCTTCCTCTACGCTCTGCCCTGGTAACCTCTGCCCTTAGGTAGTATCGTCAGATCATTTTCCACAGTATCTCTCCATTTCTTCCTTTGTCTCCTTGCTGTTTTCGTCCTACAATTGGATGTCTCCATGCTACATTGACTAGAACTTTCCGTAGACTCTGTCCTGTGTAACATCCTAGATAGTACGTTCAAATCTTTTTCCACGTTATCTCTCCATCTCGTCCTTTGTTCGTCATCCTTTCGCAGGACGTCTTCGGACAACTTGACCAGATCTTTCTCCTTCTCAATCTGCATTCTCGTTTCCTGATAATGACACAAAAGAAGATATTCTGTAGGAGGAGATATTTTATTGGAGATGATATTCTCCAATATTGCAAGAACGCCTAATGTCGTCTGTTTCCGAAGGAAATTCCAAGCATACACATCAACATTCTGAATTTCTGTTCTATTCAGCTACATTCTTCTCCCTAGCCTGCGAATACAGAATCTATTTATATCTTTCCACCGTGGAATAAGCCACATAAATAGATTCTGTATTCGCAGGCTATCTTCTCTCTTCTGTAAAGCCATTGTTTTTTAGCCAAACATTTATATAAACCAGAATAGCGAGCGAAAACATGATAATAAGTAACGTTTAAAGCATAAGCAGTCATGTTCTGCCCTTTATGTATAATACGGAGATAGCAAACGACAACAACAACTGCAGAAAACAAAATTACTTACATTTTTGTCAATGTATGCGTTACTAAAATTTATTTCCCTCTTGAAAGTACTTATCGTTCTTCAAACAACCCTCCATGCAGTAGCAATAGTCAGTGAATTCACATTAACCCCCCACACGACTTGGAACGTATTTATGAGCCGTGAAGATGATGTAAATAACGTAGAAGTTTGAACAACTACGACTTACTAGAATGCTCAAGGGAATACATTTTATAGTTGCCTTTGACTTAGAGTAAAAATTCTATAATTTCTATTATTGATGAGCACGTCTTTATTGACATAAGACATTGCCGTTGTATTTGCCAAACTCAGTAATATACAAGTACAAACCAAAGGGGGGGGGGGGGTCATTAACTTTTGATAGTTTTATTTCTTATAGTATAATTCGCATAATATAAACTCATAACATGTATATACTCTATCTCTAAAATCCCGTGTCCTACACCTATTTTCGCGCCCTTTTCCCTCGTTCCCAGTTTTCCCTGTCCGAGCAAATATAACTAAAATATTAATGTCAACAGTAAATGTCCAACATCTCCTCTTCTCTGAAAGTTTTTTTCTTTATAAATATACCGTATATACCGCGTTCGCTTATGTGTCTATACCTAGTCTGTCAGGTTTTTTAACTAACCGTCCACTACGGGTTTTGCTTGTAGAACTTGTTTCGATACTTGTTTCATTGCGTTATAAGTGTGCCGGTTGAGGGTTTTCTTGGGGCAGATCATTGTCAGTAGGTACAGAAACGTTCTCTTCCGCTTCGGACATGTCTGACATCTCTTCATCTGCGTTGTCACTACCGAATTCTGCAGGTAACCTTGATCGTCGGATGAATTTTCTGTTTCTAGTATAGGTATACCCTTTGCATTGGACTTCATATGATCTTATCCCGGCTTTGCGTACGACTATCCCTCTCTTCAATTTCTTTTCGCCGATTCGTGTTGGCTGTAGTCTCACCACTTCTCCTTTCCGCAACGGGCTGAGTTCTTTTGCGCCACGATCGTGGTATTTCTTTTGGAGCTGTTGTCTTTGTTGAATGCGTTTGTTTGCTTGCGAATTAATCTTCGGTTGGAGCAACTTCTCCGAGACGGGCAAGGGAGTCTTTCTACGGCGGTTAAACAGTCGTTGTGCGGGGCTTGTTTCATGGGTTGTTTGGGGGGTGTTTCGGTGGGCAAGAAGGGCAAGGTAAATGTCATCGTTTGATGATTTGCATGTTCGAATTATTCGTTTGGCTTGCTTGACGGCAGATTCGGCTTTGCCGTTGGATTGGTGGTGATAGGGACCGGTCGTTATATGCTCAAATTGGTACTTCATAGAGAAGTCTCGAAAGTCATCACTGATGAATTGTGGGCCGTTGTCTGTCACGAGAGTATTTGGAATACCGAACCTGGCGAAATGGGGCTTTAGTTTCTTTATGACTGCCAGTGATGTCAATTTTTCAAGGCGGTCAACTTCGAAGAAGTTCGAGTAGTAGTCCACTGTTACTAAATACGATTTCTTTTCAAATTCAAAGATATCACAACCGATTTTTGCCCATGCTCTCTTTGGTGTTTCACGCGGGATGAGAGATTCTTTCGGCTGCTTGGAATTGAATGTGTCGCAGGTGATGCAATGTGAGATGTGGTCTTTCAATTCTTGGTTCAGGTGTGGCCAGTAGGTTTTTCTGGCTCGCCGACTTGTCGATGCGATCCCTTGGTGTGCTGCATGCAATTCATTCAGTACTTGCTTTCGTAGTGATTTTGGGATAACGACGCCGTCTCCCCTGAACACGAGGCCCTCTTGTGTTGTTAGTTCGTCTCGTAGATGGAAGTACGGGGTGATTGTTGGAGATAGATCTTTGGAGCTTTCGGGCCATCCTGACTGGATGAATGATTTGACTTGCTGTAGGTCTTGATCTTTTGTTGTGTGGCCTTGGAATATGGTTATTGTTTCACAATTTAGTATTTCGTTGATTTCTTCCAAACTGTCCACTTGGTCGAGATCGCTGTCGACGCTGCGTGCTTCGTCGGTGGAGTTGTCTAAATGGTGACGACTGAGTGTGTCAGCTAGCAGCATCTCTGACCCTTTCTTATAAACGATGGTTAAGTTAAATTGGTGTAATCTCATCATCATCTTTTGAAGACGTCTAGTTGCTGCTGACAGAGGTTTCTGATGAATGACTTCGAGCGGCTTGTGGTCTGATTCTACTGTGACTGGTCGGCCATATGTATACTGGTGAAAACGCTCGGTTCCATAAACTATAGCTAACAGTTCCTTTTCTATCTGGGCGTATTGTTTCTCCGCGTGCGTCAATGCTCGGCTGGCAAAAGCGACAGGCTTTCCCTCTTGAATGAGTGCGGCCCCCAGTCCGTGGTCGCTAGCGTCACACTGTATTATCAGAGGTAGTATTATCGTATTACTTGAGGACTGGCGGTTCTGTGATCAATTTCTTTATTTGGGTGAAAGCGGCGTCATGCGATTTGTCCCAATCGAAAGGCTGATTTTTTTGTGAGTTGTCGTAGTGGTTCAGACACTTGTGAGAGGTGGGGAAGGAACTTGGCAAGATAATTAACTGTTCCGAGGATTCTTCTGACTCCAGCCACGTCTGTGGGTTGCTTCATTTCTAGTTTGGCTTGTACTTTAGCAGGATCCGCTTGGACACCGTCAGAGGTAAGAATGTGGCCAATGTATGGCATTGAGGTCTTCTTCAACTAAATCTTGTTTGGGTTAAGCTTGATATGTTTAGCTCTGCAGCGATCGAATAGTTCCTTGAGCTTTCTGTCATGGTCGGCTACAGCTTTCTGCATCGTCTTTCCATTTCCTATTACTAAAATGTCATCAGCAACAGTCCGTACACCATCCAAGTTATCAATTGCCTGGTCTAGTCGTTGCTGGAAAATCTCTCCTGCAGGGGAGATCCCGAAAGGCATCCGTTGCCATTTAAATCGTCCAAATGGAGTGTTGAACGTCGTTAAAAGAGACGAATCTTCGTCTAATTCTACTTGCCAATATCCGTTGCTACAGTCGACTTTGGTAAAGACTTTTGCATTGGACAGTTCTGGAAGTACGTCGTCAATTGTCGGTATTGGATGGTGGTATCGTTTCAGCGCTTTATTGAGTGGTCTGGGATCGAGGCATAATCTAATTTTTCCATTGGTTTTTGGTGCAACAACAATTGCGCTGACCCAGTCTGTTGGATAGTCTACTCGTTCTATGACCTCAAGCTTGACAAGTTCGTCCAAATGTTCTTGCAACGGTTACTTCAGCGACTCTGGGATTTTTCTTGGTGGGAGTTGGACAGGCGACATTTCAGGATCAACTTCAAGATGCAGTGCTGGACCTAAGGTGCCAAGACCTTCAAAAACATCTTGGTATATGTCTTTGACGTTTTGCATTGTCAGTCCCATTTGATCAGGCCGACTCAGGTCTTCATTAATTTGATCGACATGAATTGGGCTCCCAATTTGAATCAAATTCATTTGTTGCACGGTGCGGCAGCCAAGAAGGTTACTTTTTGCATTCTGGTCATCAATAACAGTGAATGGTACTTTGAAATTTTGCTTTGTAATTGGGTCTTGTACTTGTATTTTGCACTTTCCAAGTGGTGTGAGTGATGAGTTGTTGCACATCTTGAGAACATGTGCCGTAGGTTTGATGCGCCGTTCACATTTAGTGCCTTTTAATTCACTCTTTTTTAGGACATTGCAGGTTGCCCCTGTATCGATTTGAAATTTGGTTGTCTTCCCCCCTTTTATTTTCATGGTAGCAAAAATCCGTGATTTGTAAATATTCGGTTGGTGTATTGTATTGATGGTATCATTCTCGGTGGGGTCTAGTTCGACAGTCATAAGCGAGTCGCCTGAATTACTTGAGTCGTTTTCAGTTACTGCGTGAAGTGGCTTTTGGCGGGAATATCTTTCTTTCTGCATACAAACTTTGGCGAAGTGATTTTCGCGACCACAATTCCGGCAGCGGGACATAATTCCTTTTTTCGTTGGTGCACTGTTCCACAATATTTGCATTGAATTTTGTTGTCACGCCCCCCGTCACGCCTATCAAGTCCGATACGCCAGTCATTGCGTCTTCCGGTTCCTGTGCTTCCCGTTCCTGTGCTTCCGGTTTCGGTTTTGTTGTTTACAATGGCTTTGATTTCGCCCTCATTTGCTTTGCTGTTCGCCTGGATTTTCTTGACTTGTTTCTTCGTGGTCTCGCTACTGCGACAGATGTCGATGGCTTTTGTCAAGGTGAGTTTTCGATCTTGCAATAGCTTTTTTTTAGTTGCATTATCGTTGATTCCTATGACCAGGTGATCGCGTATCAAAGAATCTCGTAAAAAATTACAGAAATTACAAGATTGTGCCAAAGTTCGCAGTGCTGTTACGTATTGGTCGACTGTTTCGTTTTCATTCTTTTGTCTGCTGTTGAAAACGAATCTCTCAATTGTTTCACCTAAGCATAACTCTTTAAATTTGGTTACAACAATGTCAAATTTCGTGCGGTCTTCTTCCGAGGCAAAATCTAAGCCCTCAAAAATTTCCATTGCGTCCTCGCCGATGCACGAAAGGAACGTTGCTGTTTTGAATTCATCTTCAAATCGGTTAAGTCTTGCCACTATAGCACAGTTATCCCCAAATCGCTTGAATTTCTTCCAGTTTGAGGCAAGGTTTCCTTCAGTTTTTAATGGCTTAGGCATGGCCAAGCCCGCTGGCAATAATGGTTGACATGCCGAGGCTGTGTTCGGCGTGTTTTCTGCTTCGCTACCGTTCGCTTCTTCTGTCGCTTTCAATAATGTGAGCTGGCTTCTTTTAAACTCCTGACACCATGTTATTTGCTTCTCACTTTCATTAACTTTTGATAGTTTTATTTCTTATAGTATAATACGCATAAGATAAACTCATGTATATACTCTATCTCTAAAATCCCGTGTCCTACACCTATTTTCGCGCCCTTTTCCCTCGTTCCCAGTTTTCCCTGTCCGAGCAAATATAACTAAAATATTAATGTCAACAGTAAATGTCCAACAACCTTTATCCCCCCATTAACTTGCATATGTACATGAGAGGTTAACCATTGAACCGTTTTAGTTGATGGTAACTATAGCGACTGGACTACATCGTCAGTATGCAGTGTGACGTGTGGAGTGGGCTACCAGATGTGGTTCCGGACATGTGATAATCCACCTCCCAAATATGGTGGAGAAGTTGTTCCAAATATGGTAAAGACAGAGACAGTAGGCCTTGCCACACGGAAGCTTGTCCAGGTTAGTCGTTGAGTTGTTTCAGTTGTTTATGGTCATCCATAATCACCAAAATTTTTACCAGATCTAAAAAAGTGGAATCTCTGCCTCTAGCCTCTGGTTTGTACTCTTTTGTCGGAAGCCCAAAGAGAAGCCAATCAAACTCTACTTGCATAAGTTTTCAAACACAAAGCTTAACTCACAACATCTCTACTCTAGCAACGTCAGCTTCTGCTAAAGTGATGAAAATCATATGTGGTGTTTGTGTTTCGATCATCATAATGGTTATTGGTTTAATTCTTGTTCGTAGGTTGTTTAGGGTCATCCATAATCACCTAAATTTAGTGCTGTACAAACTCCGGGTTTTTCACCTCCAGCTCCGGCCAAAAAACTGCAGCTCCGAGAAAAAAAACTCCGGCTCCGGCAGAAAATTTTTAGCTCCGGCAAATTCATGAAAATTCGAAATTTAAGGGAAATGTCACATTTCAAAGTGGAAGCACTATCTTTGTTTTTGATTTTCACACTTCGCATGAACATCTCGTGCTGTATTTTTTTGTATGTTTTGATGTTATGTACTCAGGTGAATATAATTGTTTTTATGTTACTCTGAGTGTTTATCCACACCGGGTAGGCTGTAAAGTAAGCCTGAGCACGGTGGGAATCGAACCCGCGACCTTTGGGATACTAGTCCAATGCTCTGCCAACTGAGCTACGAGGCCAAGTCGGTTCGAGTGTGATATTTCGGAACTAAATCTAGTACCTTCGATACCAATGTGTTGTATGATGATGATGATATTTTTAGACTTAGTTCCGAAATACCACACACTCGAACCGACTTGGCCTCGTAGCTCAGTTGGCAGAGCATTGGACTAGTATCCCAAAGATCGCGGGTTCGATTACCACCGTGGTCAGGCAAACTTTTCAGCCTGCCCGGTGTGGATATACACTCAGAGTAACATAAAAAACATTTCGTACTATGTTTGTGGCAGGCCTAAGCAGTATCAGTGTGAGTGTTTACTTTTTCGCCGAAGTCCGAGAGTAGTTTGCAGCAGAAAATAAGTGCTGCCGGAGTTTTGCCCGAGTTGAAGAAGCTCCGTCAAAATAGGCCAAAACTCCAGCTCCGGCGCACAGCACTACCAAAATTGTCACCAGACCTGAAAAAAGTGGGATCCTGGATCCTTATAGGAACACTGGCCTTAGCAAGGAGAATCAAGAACATTTTCAATTTTCCACGCATATGTTATGGGAGAATCTTAAGGAATCATTTTATCATATTTTCTGCTCTTTCATTTGAGATTGTGAACAGTTGTTTAATGTTAAAATTTTGTGTAATGTATAAAGTCTAATTTTCCATTGTTTTTACGCACTTTTGAGGAAAATTTGAGAAAGGCAAATTCAGGATCCAAGGAACATTTTAATGTTTAATGAACAGTTTAATATTTAAAAATACACTTTCCAGGTCTGATTTTTACAGGCGTACAAAGTGTTTCTCGACCTCCCTCCCGAAGCGTTCTCTTGAATGTTGAACCTCAGAAATAAAGATGATGACGTTTAACATAGTATATAGTGTATGTTGGTCATTAACCAGCCCCTCCACTCACCATCACCACCACCACCATCACCACCACCACCGTCATCACCACTACCACCATCACCACTAGGTCCACTACCGTCATCACCACTACCATCGCTACCATCACCACCACCACAAAGCCTCTGATTTGTACTCTTTTGTCAGAGCACAGAAGAAGCCAATCAAGCTCTACTTGTATGAGTTTTCAAGCACAAAACACTCACAACATCTCTATTATAGCAACGTCAGCTTCTGCTAAAGTGATGAAAATCATATGTGGTGTTTGTGCTTCGATCATCATAATAGTTATTGGTTTAATTCTTGTTCGTAAACGTAAACTCTGGATTGAGCGATATCACAAGATAGGCAGTAAGTTTGTATTGTAACATTACTCAATACAGCCTTCAGGAAATAAAGATAATTTGCACACCCCCACTTACTGACTTACCTACGTATATAATCTCATCCAATAGTTGTTAATCAAATATTTACAGGCATTCGTCCATATGCAGTCTTTCGGCAACGATGGCCAGAAAATGTTCCATCAACTATTGATGATACAACGGGAGAAAACATATATGAAGAAATATTTTAAAAGCGTAGATGAATTAAATAGAACGACAGCGGAAGATCGTATGTATGAAAGCATCACTTGAAAGTGAATTTTGTAATTCTCCTTTTAGTGAATTCCGACACCATAACGACATTGCAAATTTGCAATGCATCGTCTCTTCAACGGTATTGAACGGCCATCATTTTACAATATATATATATATATAGCTAGTATGAAGAAAATATAAAATAAAAGAAATTCCGAGAAAATTGCATCTTGCAAATCCATGATATGGACTAAAATGAAGACAACAATTATATCCGGGCTTACGGATCGAAAGCTTTGCAGTAATAAATTTACGTGGTGTTTCCACAAACAAAAACAATTACATTTTATCGCCATGCAAACATTCAAAGAACTTAACAATTTTATTGTTAAGAATTTTACCATAAAATTTTTGTTTTTAATTATTAATATGTGTAAATCAAGCACACAACTCACCTACGGACTATACGACAACGTTAATGTAGGCGAATTGTGTCCTTAATTAATTTACACAGTACAACTCAATTTATGTTTTTCGCTATGTTTTGTGCTTCGATCATCATAATAGTGATTGGTTTAATTCTTGTTCGTAAATGCAAAGTCTGGATTGAGCGATATCACAGGAAAGGCAGTAAGTTTGTATTGTAACATTACTCAATACAGCCTTCAGGAAATAAAAATGATTTGCACACCCCCACTTACTGACTTACCTACGTTTATAATTTCATCCAATAGTTGTTAATCAAATATATACAGGCATTCGTCCAAATGCAGTCTTTCGGCAACGATGGCCAGAAAATGTTCCATCATCTATTGATGATGCAACCGGAGAAAACATATATGAAGAAATATTTTAAAAGCGTAGATGAATTAAATAGAACGACAGCGGAAGATCGTATGTGTGAAAACATCACTTGAAAGTGAATTTTGTAATTCTCCTTTTAGTCAGTTGCGACACCATCACGACATTGTAAATTTTCAGTGCATCGTCTCTTCAAAGGTATTGAATGGCCGTCATTTTACAATATATATAGCAATAGTATGAAGAAAATATAAAATAAACGAAATTACGGTCTACGACAGCGTTAATGTAGGCGAATTGTGCGCTTAATTAATTTACACAGTACATCTCAATTTATAAGCAGGTTGCATGATGCAACAGTTTTAGGGAAAAGTTGTGTAGTGTAAATCGGCCTTAATATCTCCGAGGATGGTTCTTAGATACCTACACTGCACCCAGTGTTGTAACGAGTCACCTACAGGTCGAGTCACGAGTCGAGTCATTTCAGTTTCACTCGAGTCGAGTCAGCGGCTTCACTCGAGTCGAGTCACTGGTTCAAGTTGAGTCGAGTCAATACCTAAACTTGGCTTTCGTCAGTGAATTTGATCAAGTCCACCCCACGCTTTCTGTAATGGTTCGCTACCATAGCTTGTAGTCTGAAATTAGTAATCAAATTTACCTTTTAAGCTAATTACTTTAGTCATTTAATAAGAGTATCTGGGCAGCTAGGCTGCACCAATATCACAGTTGTAGTCAATATTAAGTACGATCACATGAGATGTCTCATCATGCCTGCTGATCGAGTGTACGTACATACAACTAGCATAACTTGCAACTGGAGTCAGAAATAACAAAGAATAGACTTTAATTAATCACGCTTTGTAAGTTAATTTGGCACTATCTAACCCGCAAATAGGGAATACTCTGGGAACGAGATTGGTAATAGACATGCCGGTCAGATATATTCTATGGAAATCCCTATATATTTTCTGATAAAGTTTCGAAGTTCTCATTGTTCAGAGGACTCCTTGTTCTTCCCAAGCAATACAATCACAATAATTTTGTAGCCGCAGAGTTACCTCGAGTCATTTACGGCAAAAATGAGCAAGTCGAGTCCGAGTCGTGTCATTTGGGGCTGTTGACTCGAGTCGAGTCATTTTTCGTATTGGACTCGGGTCGACTCGCTGAAAATAGCGTCTCGAGTCCGAGTCAATGACTCGACTCGTTACAACACTGACTAGACCCCCATATTTGAGATCTATTTATAGGTATGCTTTGTGTCCATATTTCCCGCGGCTTTTCTGGAGAGCTCTACTGATGATAGACATAACTTAATTTGCTTTTAGCAGCATTCAAGCAACTATGCAAACAAACGCTTACCTCCTTGACCTTGGCAAATATTGAAAACACTTTCTTTTGGTCTGTCGGACTAATGTCTATGCTTTGACGTTTGTTATTTGCAAAGATTCAACGTGTATTCGATGAAATATTGGATTACACATTTTGACCATGGCAGTGAACCAAACATTGTCTATATATGATGGCACTTAATCACTCTAATTACTGATCAAAGACAAAATATAGAGTTAGAACTTACGGGTTTCTTTAAATGACCTGCATGATATTGTACAGTACATGATTATGAATGCATACATGTGAGAAAAGTCGCGTCTCGAGAATGAACGCGATATTTTCGGCTCAAAAGTAGTGCATCTTTCCGCGCGTAATACTTTAATATACTCAAAATTTGCTAATTTCACAGGGCTGTATTTTCGGTATTTTACAACATTTTGCAACCTAGCTTGGCAATTTTGTTAATTTAATGGACCTTTAACCTTATAACTAAAATTTTGTTCTAGACAAAAATTTCATCACAGCTTGAAAGAGCATCACAAAATTAGTAATATTCCAAAGTTTCGTTACGAAATGTTGTAAAATGCGGATAATATAGGCCTTGCGAAGTTTGCATTTTTCAGTCATTTTAGATTACAAACGGGAAATTGATACCCAAATCGGGTGTTTGTGATGAAATTTTTGTCTAGATCAAAATTTTAGTTATAAGGTTAAAGGTCCATTAAGGATATTGATATAGATTTCGTACTTCTCTTGTCTGGATCAAAATTTAATCTATAGCTGGAATCATGCATTCGTCTTTAGGTGCACTTTATTACACTTTGCTTATCACATTTGCGTCTTTGCCTGCTTGCCCCAAACAGGAAACTACTTTTCATGAGGAAGTATAACAAGTATTTTTAACAAGGAAGTGGCATAGCGAAGGAAGTTTAATTAATCATTGAATAGTTTGTTTGCAGCTTATCTTTGAATTGCGTTATCCAAACAGACGTCGTTCCAATGGACCATTAACTCTATCATCTATGCTATATGTTATGCGGAAGTATTATATTTATAGCAAAAGTGCTTACATCAGGTGAAATATAATTCAGTTGTAAGCAGCTAGAGTAAGCAGCTTGACGCCGAAAGGTGGTCGAAATTCTGAGTGGGCGAAAACTAGCCAACCGTTTAATCAACGCGTTTTACCAGACCGCACTGAAATCGGCGAGAGATTGGTTGTATATGAAATTATTATGATGTGGGACGTTAGTTTTGTCAATGGCGGTGGTATTGTACTGATTCTAGCGACGATTTCCAGCGCAAATGTTGCAGGTATAACGCCAGATAGTTTTATAAGTCAATTCATTATTGTTGCGACTGCGCATTAAATTGTGCCGGGATTAAAACCATAAAATGAACAAATGAGCGAAGCTTGTTTTTCACTTCAACCGTATCGTAACGTACCGTAGCATTTTCTTTCGTGTCGAAGTCATTATAGTTTCACACTATCGCTCAGGAAACAAAGAAATACGTTGCGTTTCGGTACGATACGATTGTCCCCCCAAAAGTCCCCTTTAGAAATCACTCTTGTGCGTTATTATACCTTTGGGGATTTAATTTAATTGAACATGAACGGCGGAAGTATTTACAACTTCCCTTCGCCCATTTAATTTAACCGGCATTTCGGTTAGACTTTGCGTGTAAGTTGTATACGTATAATTTGTTACGACAAATACTCGTTGCTCTGTAGTCAGTTGAACCATTCTTACTTGAACTGTCGGTGAAACGAATTTGTAATTTGAATTTTTGTGTTGCTCTTCGTTTTAGAAGCTATTTTAAAATCCCAGAGGTATAACAACGCACGTTTAACAACAAAAGTGATTTCTGTATAGGGGACTTTTTTGGGACACCCTGCTGTCCAGGCAGAACGGGGTCATGTAAATAGCGCCACTTAATCACCATGTCACCGACCAAATGAAGAGCATTATTATTAAATTGGTATTTTTCTTTCACTCTTACAGGTGAACATCATCTTCCAGACGTAAACAGGTACAATAATGTCCATAATAATTTTTCCCAGGATTGCAGTTACAAAAATCTTGAGGTGACTCTGTAACTTGTTTAAAAAAATTAAGTTTTACGTGAAAGATGTCATATTGTAAAACTGCTTTATTGCACAGGCTTTAGAGACCCAGTTCCACTCAAGAACAATTTCCACGGACAGAAGATTTTCCGAAAATGTCCTTGTTAAAGTTGGAAATTTTCGACTTCAAAATTTTTTCCGACGCAAAGTTTGTGTCGGCCAATCACATTTTACAATATTTTTGCGGAAAATTTTCCTGATTGGAAATTAATCCAAATACCAAGACCTACATTTAAAATTATTATACCTTACTGTCCGCTCATTCTTTGTATAGGACGTGCATTCCTGCCGAAGCTGAACCAACGCTGAACTCAAGTTCGTGTTATCCTTTGGTAAACTTTACCCGTCCTTTTTGTCAAAATCATGGAATCAATTTACCCAACTACGTGTATCGGACGCCCTACGATCAGAATAGGAAAAACGATGATTTTAACAAGATCAACGACGGATTGGTGAGGCTGGGCGTATCAAAAATAAGCACCCTTTTAGATGTGGACATCAACACTGTGAGAAAGTGCGTGCAAATTTCCGCCCGATACTCATTTGTCGTAATCGTTTTCCGAGTTGTGATCGAACCCAAAGTGTGTTTAAGGAGCAAACCATATGTCCTGAATCGTGTCTTGAATCTATTCATGTCTGCCATAAAATGTGGGAAATTGTTGAGAGATATTATACAATTCGCTACCCGGAGAAAAAGAAGCTGTTCAATTGTGATCTACAACCGTATAGAAATGCTGGTCATTCCCCAGAATGCTGGTATTTCAATGGATTCGCAAACTATATAGGTAACATGGCGGACGAGCGAAGTATCTTGAGCTTGTGGGAGAATTTTATCTGAAGATGACCTAATGTGTAATAATGAAACAGTTGGTGGTTTGCCCCAGGGGAAGGGGGTATCGGGCGTACACACGGGATTTGACATTTATCATGGAATTTTTGTAAATTTTCCCATTGTAGGGCAAATTATATGGTCAAAGTATGTCAATTCTACTGCCTCAGGGGGCAGATACCCATTGGAAACTGACCAAGCGAAGCACCTCAGAAGTAATAGCAAAAAGAACTTTCCATACAATTTCCATCATTCTTCTAACCAAAACAATTTCATTTGATTTCAAAAATGTCATAAAATATGGACATTTTCATCAAGGTGGAAACCAATCTCGTACCAGCTACCCCCTCCCCGCCCTTGAGCAAACGACTGACTGGTGAACAATTGTAACCTGGCTTTTCCCGATTGATTACCAATGTAATGCTCAGTTGTGGAAGAAACAGGGGGTCTGGGAACCTCTCCCAAAAAAATGTTTATATTTTAAAGTTCCGATCCATGCCTTATTTCTGGTGTTCTCCACGCACATCCCAGTAAATCCATTCCTGTATCTTTGTTTGTTGTAAGTTGTACTGTAACTAGTTTTTGGTAATTTCTAGATACATCTCCCGCTCCAGAATGGGCTACAAACACAGGTAAGCAACCCGGAAAGCAGCCCGAATCAAATCGGATACTGCATTACATGAAGTTAGTCATCTACAAGCCTGGTATTAATGGCTGCGCCGCTATAGTCTAAGGTCCATTCGAAAATTTGCTACCTGCACAAAAATAAAATTAATCTGCAGACATGAGCTACAGAAATCGACTGTTCTTTCAACACCCCAATATGTTTTAGCTCCTCAGAGTGAGTATTAACGTTTGTTAGTATTAACGTTTTTGGAGTTGAACTCCAGTGGCCGGCTGTACAAACGCCAGATAGCCCTATTGTCCATTGACTGGTATAACTTAACATTAAACTTTAGTATATAAAAATTCAGGTATCGCAAAACTGAGACTGTGTATCCAGCCTAATAATCATCTTTCCACACAGATTGTCTTTACTTAAATGGCAGCAGTTACCACGGCAACATTTCAGTGACAGCCTCAGGTATTCCGTGTCAATCATGGACAGAGCAATGTCCACATCGTCATACCATGAACGATACATATCCAAAACTAAATAACGCTAAGAATTATTGTCGAAATCCTCAGAACTCAGGACAACGACCTTGGTGTTTTACTACAGATAGGAACAAGAGATGGGAGTACTGTGATATCCCTAAATGTATATCAGGTATGCGCTAATATTGTACTATGATAAATCTAGATGAATACCATCAGAGTTGATGAGAATTTTTTCCCGTTTGACCGGTAATATTAGTCAACTCTCATCATGCAAACTCTCACTTGTCAACTCTCATCAACTCTTATCCTCGTTTGACTGGGACATGAAACATGTAATACTTTTCTGTCTTGTTTAGTTGATGGTAACTACAGTAACTGGTCATTAAACAATACGTGCAATGTAACTTGTGGTGAAGGTTATGATACATTGAAACGAGAATGTAACAACCCTGAACCAAAGTATGGTGGAAGAAACTGCAGTCATTTAGGAGAACCTGTTGAGTACAGACCATGTCTGGCAAAGCCTTGCCCTGGTAAGTGAAATCATTTTTTATAAATACTCAAATAAAAGGCGACATTCTTTGCAGGGTTAGAACACTCTCTTCTGCAGAGGTTTCTTTGGGCAAGATTGGGCAGAGGTGGGTCTACCGGGGGAGCGCCCTCCCCCCCCCCCCCACCCCTACTGGTGTCCAGCGTACCATAGTGGTGTCCTAGATTATACTTTCCTTCAATTTTGCCTGAAATACAAATACCGTGGAGACAACTTTAACGAATAAATTTGGTGCTGAGAATGCAGGGAATGGCATTCAGTGATTCAAATTTCAAAATTCAGTGATTCAAACATTTTTCCGGAGCAAAATGCCCCGCACTGTAGAATGCACTACCCTCTGGAAAATCTCCACCACTTCTAATAAGTGAGGCCAGATTCGCCCCTGAGGTTGGCCAGGCATAGAGGCGCACAAGGAGTGACGGGAAAATTGTCTTTCTCCGCACCGTCCTCCCTATTTATCCTATCTTCACGAATAAATTACCCTCTTTACCCTTCTTTACAGCCCGAAGCACAGAATAGGAGCAATCGGTAATCCAAGCTTTTATTAAAAGAAAAATACATAATGTAACATTGTGACCTCTCATAAATATTCTCTTCCAAAGAGAGTGAGTCATGTCAAACAGAAATCATGCAGAGTAGGAGAAAAAAATATATACAAAATTAATCTAAATTACAAATCTAAAAATTTGCATGCATTTGATATCATATTTGATTATTATAAAGAATCAAATTTGATAATTTTATAAAGCATTCTTAAAAGATGGAATTGAAGTCTTATTTTCAAATCATCGGGAAGTTATTCCAGAAAATGGCGCCACGCTAAAACACCTCTTGCCGAAATTTAAAAATTGGGAATTGCTTTGCCTTTTTGCCCTACTTGCTTAATTATGGCACACCTTCTACTTATAGGTAATAGCATGGTTTCAAGTGCAATTTGGATATAACATGCACGAGTGAGATTTTCAAAGACCTCGAAATAGCACGAGTCCGAAGGACGAGTGCTATTTGAGGTCTTTGAAAAACTCACGAGTGCATGTTTATCCAAATTTCACGAGAAACCATGCTATTACTTATTAATAATTTACATAAAAATGTTCGAGACAATTGTAGTTTTAACTTGCGCGTTTATAGCGAACATTCCACTGGTAAAGTTTTTCCTGGCTTTGTTATATCACATTATGCAACGCTAACAGCTTGAAAATTCCATCTAACTATGTAATTTTTGTTAGTCTTGTTTAAGGTAATTGCTTTTCCATTTAAAAATAAAGATAAAAGCTATATTTTCCACGCGAAGGCAACTTTTACTTTGTGTAGCGCGGCGCCATGTTTGTTTTGTTTGGAAGCAATCTGTGACCGTTACTTCTTTAAACTATAAATTTCTTTAAACTGATTGGTTGATTTAATCATCACAATGTTTTTCCACCAATCAGATCAGTTTGTTACAGATTTTTGCACTGTGATTACAGAAAATTGCACTGTGATTACAAAAAATTGCACTGTGATTACAGAAAATTGCACTGTGATTACAGAAAATTGCACTGCTGTTTGGGATTAACTGCACTGAAATCAACCAATCACAGTCGAGTAATATCTTTATGTATATTATTAACCAAGAAATAACTCTTTTTAGGTTAATTAATATTCCTGGCTAAATTTCTTGGTTATTTCGACCTTAATTTTCCTATAATCCGGTTAATTTGACCAATAATTACTGCATGATTAAAGTAAGTAGACCATGCTAGGCGGATAAATAACAACCTCGATCCCACTGTTCTCGGGTGTGAAGGTTCTGATGCACGCGTTGGGACCCTGGCAAACTCTGATCCCGCGACGTCAAAAATCTTGAAGATTACGTAATTTGTAAATTTATGATCCGGGGGGCGATGGTTACTGTCTGAATCGAAATGAAATCGGTCGATAACTTATTTTGGACACTGCTGGCAGCACTGAAATCGGTCGGTAATCGTCAAGTGATCATGACTTATATACATATGTACCACTTTTGCTATTTTCGAAGTTCAGGGAAGTAAGACGCCTCGATTAATAAATTAAAAATATTATCTAAAGTCATTTAAAATTGACATGAATCCTTTGATACATAAATTGTAGTCTAATGGCAATAATTTATTATGATTGACAGGAATCCTTTAATAGATTTCCAATGTCATTTAATATTGACAGGAATCCTTTGATACATAAATTATAGCCTAATGGACTCATTATTGGATAAAAAGACAACAGGTTTCATTAAGAAATTAACCTGACTGGCAAGGGGTGTAGATAAAGGCGGATGGACGGCGGACGACGGACGACGGATGGCGGACGACGGACGACGGATGGCGGACGGCGGAGCATTTTATAAACACATGATTACTACCAGATTACTTACTGATTATAAAACCCTAAATTAAAGTATACCAGCCTTAATTCTGTGAAATGAATATGATTTCACACGTTCCAATTTTTAGCAATGGAATTATTTAATCAGCATTCAATGATTCAATACGTATGTATGATAGGCTATACGCCGTCTTTCTCGGGAAACTTTTGGAAAATTGTAAAAAAGCGCCTTAGTTTTGGAGGTTCTGTTAGGCAGATCATAGACAATCCAAAAGACATGGATTAGACGGCCAGCCAAGCTCAATAAAAGTGTCTCTAAAATGCCATCGATGGCATTTTTTGTTACAAGCTGGCAACTGGCGTTTTCGTATAGCTTAGACACTGGAGAACGTTTGATAGGCTGCCACCTCTGATATTGGCTTTAGTGAAAATTTTTGAGAATTAATCAGAAAACTTTGCCTATTAAAATTGCTATACTCACTAAACTGTGAAATTTGAAACCAACTTTCAGCAAAAATCACCTATATAATCAGAAAGTTCGGGAAAAAGTAGATATAGAACATTTAAGTGAGAAGTGTGAATTTATAACCCTGTTTTGAGTTACAGGAGCTTAAAGTTGCTAAAAAACAGCTTTTGTGACGTCATTCACCGCATTTTACCTATTTTTAACTATTCATAACTCGAATTTGGCTAAATAAATCGTATTACTCGTTTAAATGTCTTATATATACTTTTTTATGCTCTTTCTAACGATATAAACGATGCTAATTTTAGTGAACTTCAAATTTCACATTTTTTTTGGAGTATTATAATTTAATAGGCAAACTTTTCAAATGCTTAAAATTTTCTCTTCGTTCGTTAAAATCAGAGGTGGCAACATATCAAGCGTGACTCGACAGTGTCTAAGCTATAAGAAAACGCTTGTTGTTTGCTTGTAACAAAAAATGCCATCGACAGTCATATTTTGATCGGCTGGATGGCCGTCTAAACTGGAAACTCCTAATGTTTTGTGCGTGCCATCCGTGATGCTTGCGTGACGCTTGCGCATGTGTCATGTGACTTGAACGGTTGTTGCTTCGAAAGCGAATAAACGTATATTGATGTATTGTGGATCGGTACTTGTCTGCTGTTTTACAGATCTTTATACTGGAAGATTGTTTAAATAATCTACACTGAAAAAGGCAGTTAGGTATCACATGCATTGTGTGTAAAGTTTATAAAACGGATCTGCTTATCCAGAGACGAGTGCAAAGAATTTTCGAGCTTGTTCGAAAATTTTGATTTCCAACTTGGGGTGGACTTTCAGGCACAATTCAGGCTTGTTTGCGTATTTTAGTTTTCTTTAATTAAGTTTACGTGTATTTATTCAGTTTTGCTTGACTGCAATTACGTTATAAATTGATTGCAATTACCTTTTCGAATCGAAGTTTTCCTTGTTCTGCAAATTTGAATTTGGCAATTTCCGTTTACCTTCCATTTTATTGACAACAAGTTATTTCTTTCTCGAAAACCCTTTTTGGTAAGGAATCTATTATTAAAAAGAAATGAAAGGAAGGTTTCAGTTATTTTTAGCGGTGAGTTTTGTATGTTTAACCCAGAAGAGCTTTCTCAAACAGCGGTTGTTCAATAGTTTTTCACTTTTTCACTTTTTTGTTCAAAAGTAGAGCAATACTTTGAACTTTCGACAATGCCGACAAGAATGCCAATGGCGACTTTTTACCGTCAAAAATATTACGCAATAATTAAAAGGTGGTTTTTGGCGTTATTTGAACAAATATAAGTTTAAATTAAAAACTGCATAAATGCTTCCACAGGTCTATATTTGGTTTAAATATGTGAATTGCAAACTCTAAACTTTATTTAAACTATAGTTACCGGGTTAGAAGTGAGCGTAAACTGTGACAAGAACAATGGCGACTTTTTTACAGTCAAACACATTACGCAAGCGTTCAAAGAAGGTTTTTGGCTTTGTTTGACCCAATATAAGTTTAAAAACCAGATAAGTGGATCCACAGTTCTATTTTTGTTCAAAATAATTATGTAAATTACAAATCCTGAACGTTATTTAAACTATATATATAGGCTATACAGTTACTTGAGCAGTGACCACTTAGTTTATTGTATGGTCTATCTGATGTTATGATGTAACTCCATCTATCTTTTCCATTCCCTTGTTCACGTCCTTCCCGACTGGAACGACTTCCACGATGAGTGGCCCTGTCGGAAAAATTGGCTTGGAGATTAATAATGATAGGAATTAGTGAAGAACTGTTGAAGAAGAATTAATGAAGAACTCGGAGTAGGACGTGTATTTTTGTGCTCTGCTAAATGTGTGGCCAAGGTGAAACACTATACCAAAGGAGTTCAGAATTATATAAACTAAGAACTATCGGAATGTCGTCGAATTTAAAATTGTCCTGCAGGACTGGCGACCTTGGAAGTTTAAAAACGTTCCTATAGAAGATAATCTTAAATTACAAGGAACTTGGTCATCACCGGCAGGTGAAAAGAAAGTAGTTGTGACGGAGAATCTTAAGATTCTATGGCTTATAAGAATAAGAAGTTTCTTACAATCGAAGGAGAAGATGCAAACAAGATTAATAAACATTTGACCGGTACTATATGTACTAGTAATGATGTAGATTATGGAAATACACTCGGGAACAAAGCGACGAATGCCGTGAACTCTAGCGATAAAACCCCGGCCGAGAATCATCATTCTTCGGTTTGTGTATGTTCGGAATTGTCCCCGGAATTGGAAGGCTTGAAATTGGATTTAGTTGTCTTGGAGTCGAAGTTTGGCCATAAAATCCAGGCTATTGAGGAAAACTTCTACGTATGAATGAATACCAAACGGGGGAGTAAAAAAATTATGGTAATTCTACTGAGAATGCATTAACGACAGCGGAAGCAATGCGAATTAAGAGTTGATGAGTATGTTCATTTCAATAAAAATGCCTCAAAATTAACTGAAAGCACTGACGACATCATAGGCGGTTCTGTTGAAGCGTTAAAGTTACAGGACACCCTTTTTGGCGTTTTGCGGAAAATCGCTATACTGCGCGCTCAAAAGCAGTCTGATTTTCATCAAATTTTCACCAAATGTTAGCCAGTGCATAGAAAATATGGTAAAGTTGTAAAATTCACAAACAATGAAATAATGTAAGAATTATTCAGGAAAATCTTAAATCGCGGTACCGTTCCTTTATGAAAATATCATTTTTATACAGTAAAATATTTGTTCTAAAAAATCTTTGACGACTGCAATATATTTCAGAATCGTTTGAGTGAATTACTTCTTATTATTAATATATCCAAAATTGTATTATAAAGATTAATGCCCAGCATAACGTACGAAAGAGAGCCATACAGACAAAAATATAGAAATAAAATTTATTTAGAAGTACTAACGTTTCGTCTTTAACCTAAGACATCTTCAGAGTAAATGAATATAGTATGACAATAAGTTACAAATATGAATAAATTATTTACAATATCAAATTACAAGGTGATGAGGTAATAGGAATGCAGAGGGGGGGGGGTTAAGGAGAGACGTCAGAGGAGTGAGAGAGGAATGGAGCTACCTTGCTGATTTAAAGTAGGTTTGAGCTTTGAGATGAGAAGACTTTCACGGACGAGAAGTTCATCTGGAGAGGAACATGATGATAGGATCTTAAAATCATCAAGAGAAGCAGTATGACCTGAGTGGCTCAGATGGGAAAAGACGCTCGTCAGTTGAGGACTGCTACTCGTCTTACCAGTTAAGGCAGAAATACCCAGGTGTTCAGAGACTCGTGTATGTAGATGGCGGACCGTTTGGCCCACATACGACGCGGAACAGCATCGACACTTAAAAGAATAAACTACACAAGACCTCAAAGCATCAGGAATTTTGTCCTTAAACATGAAGAAATTGGACAAACGTAGAGTGGGACGAAAAACGATTCTGATGTTTATATGTGGGAAGGCTACAAAGCAAAGGCGTTGAATTTGGGTACGGATTTGGAGAGAGTGTGTTCCGGTATATGGAAGACAAAAGTATACCACTTTCTTAGATACAGAATGGATTAATTCCTTGGGTTGAAGGGTTTTATCAAGAAAGAGTCGAACACAACGATCGAAAAAACGAGTAGGATAACCGTTCTGGTTGAGGACTTTTCTATAAAACTCAATCTGAGCATGGAATTAATTCTCATAGTTAGACCAAATATTGAAAAAGCGGTGTAATAGTGAATATATTAAACCACGTTTAAATTGTAGAGGAGTGAAGCTATGGAAATTAGTTAAAAGCCCTGTGAATGTAGGTTTACGATAAACAGAGGTTTCAAAGTGACCATTAGTTCGTGTGATAGTAATGTCAAGGAAGGAAAGTTGACAATTGGATTCAACTTCACACGTAAAGTTAATGTTAGGATGTTGGCTATTGAGATATGCAAGAAAAAGAGGAATATGGTCCCTAGAACGGAATAGAAGGAAGGTATCGTCTACATATCGGCGATATAGTAAAGGCTTAAAATTGGTAGGGCAATTATTAAGCCAAATGGTTTCATGAAAAGATAAAAAAATGTTAGCAAATAGAGGCCCAAGGCCTCTATATTATGGTTATTCTTATAAGATTGCCAAGTTCTTTGTTCCCATTCTAAGTCCTATTTGCTCTAGCCCCTTCATGGTTCGTGATTCTTTCTCCTTTGTGCAGGAATTGTTAAGTCTAGACTTTAATTCCGATAACCTTGCCATTATTCTTATAAGATTGCCAAGTTCTTTGTTCCCATTCTAAGTCCTATTTGCTCTAGCCCCTTCATGGTTCGTGATTCTTTCTCCTTTGTGCAGGAATTGTTAAGTCTAGACTTTAATTCCGATAACCTTGCCATGGCTAGCTTTGATGTCACGTCCTTGTTTACTAATATCCCACTGGACGAAACCATTGAAATAATTGCCGATCGCTTGTTTTCGAATGCCATCCGTTTTCATGATCTCACTCGCTCTGAATTCAAACAACTTTTGAATTGTGCTGTCAAAAACTGCCATTTCTTGTTCAATGGTTCCCTATATCAACAGGTAGACGGCGTAGCAATGGGCTCTCCTCTTGGGCCTCTATTTGCTAACATTTTTTTATCTTTTCATGAAACCATTTGGCTTAATAATTGCCCTACCAATTTTAAGCCTTTACTATATCGCCGATATGTAGACGATACCTTCCTTCTATTCCGTTCTAGGGACCATATTCCTCCTTTTTCTTGCATATCTCAATCGCCAACATCCTAACATTAACTTTACGTGTGAAGTTGAATCCAATTGTCAACTTTCCTTCCTTGACATTACTATCACACGAACTAATGGTCACTTTGAAACCTCTGTTTATCGTAAACCTACATTCACAGGGCT